TTGGTCTTTAAAGCTTATTTACTGCTCGTTAAGAATATGTAAATACCGGAAAGTCCATGGAAGGGGGTCACTGTAAAGAGGACCGGTCACATGGGCAATGCCATGGAACTATAAACAGGGTGCCATGGAGTGACTACACACAGTTCTATCATTTCCACATACCCCCCCCTCCCCCGGCACTATGGGGAGATTTGGGTGACTGGTCCTCTTTAGTAATACAGGAGTAAAGGGAGCAGAAGGTTCTCCTGTCATCGGCCTGTAGGGATCAATACGGCGACAACACCTCCCATACCTGAGACCAATCCCTAATACCTGAGACCAATCCCTATTGCCAAATTATTATAATAAGTCCCTCTTCAAGAACTGATGTGTCCCGAAGGAGCCGGCCAATCGGGATCACCGCGGCCGCCGGGATGTTCTATTGTTTTCCTGTTTCCTCTTCGTGAGCCAGGGTGGGGGAGGGGATTAAACGAGAGTAGCTGCTGCGGAACCTCTTAGACTGCAGACCCGTCACTCATCACCGCCGGAAGAATAATTCAAGGAGATCCAACAATGTATATTGGATGTGGTGGCCGCCAGCGTCGTCTTTTTTTCCGCAGGTACCCGGTGATCCCGATAGAAATCCAGGGGTCCTTGTCACTTCCTATGTGCGGGGACCTGAAATCTCAAACGTTATCTGCCTTCCACACTACCTTCTGCGAACTACACAGCTCATCCTCCCTATGTCATAAAGATGAGGAGAAGAGAAAAAGGAGGGTGTGTTTTGTAGCCCAAATCAGGGGAGCGTGACAATGCTGTTCCTGCATAGATACTGTGGGGTGGGTGTTGTCACCCTGGGACAGGAAGTGTGTTACCGGCAGCGTTACCAGGTAAAAATAAAGGAAGATAAGTCGTAAGACAGGAAGCTGCCGCCACATTTAAGGCAGACGGTGGGTGTTGTCACCCGGGGACAGGAAGTGTGTTACCGGCAGGGTCACTAGGTGAACAGAAAGGAAGACAAGTCATAAAAAAGGAAACTGATGCAACTGCAACATTTAAATCAGATGGTGAGTGTTGTCACCCTGGGACAGGAAGTGTGTTACCAGCAGCATCAGCAGGTGAAAATAAAGCAAGAAAAAGTCATAAGAAAGGAAGCTGCCGCCACTTTTAAATCAGACGATGAGTGTTGTCACCAGAGGACAGGAAGTGTGGTACTGGCAGGATCATCAGGTGAAAATAAAGCAAGACAAGTCATAAGAAAGGAAGCTGCCGCCACATTTAAAGCACATGGTGGCTGTTGTCACCCTCTGACAGGAAGTGTGTTACGGGCAGAGTCACCAGGTGAAAAGGAAAGGAAAAGCTCAGAGGTGGCTGCATTCATCTTCTATTTCCAGAATACAGAACAACACTTGTGGATCCTGAGAGAAATCCTGTGTCCTTGTCACTTCCTGTGTGCCGAACTGAAACCACATACAACATTAGCTGCCTTCTGTGAACTACACATCCCCTCCTCCCTATGTAATGAAGATGAGGGGGGGTTATAGTTCAAATCAAGGATATCAACCTAGGGTGACAACACTGCTCCTCAATAGATAGAGTACAAGGAGTGTTGCCACCCTCTGACAGGAAGTGTGCACCTTCACCCATGGAATGAACTTCCTCTCCTCTGCTCCCTCCTTCTTACTCATTTGCATTGTGCTTTTTTTTAATGGTAAATCCCTTTTTTTTCCTGTGCAGCACATGACTTCCTGATTCCTGGCCTAGGCAAGGATGATGTACGATTGGCCACCCGCTGCCCCCTCCTTCCTGCCTCGGGCGGAAGTATTGCACAATTTCAAGCCCCTCCTCCCTTTGCAATAAAGCTGAGAAGAGGGGGAGGTATTTGTAGCCCAAATCAAGGGAGCAGCCTAGGGTGGCAACGCTGCTGCTCAATACAGTACAAGGAGCGTTGTCACCCTCAGACAGGAAGTGTTTTGCTGACAAGAAAGGAAGAGAAGTCATGAAACAGGAAGATGAAAGCTTTTCCTTTCCACCTGATGATCCTGCCAGTAACACACTTCCTGTCCCTGGGTGACAACACCCACCGTCTGCTTTAAATGTGGCAGCTGCATCAGCTAATGCAGCCACCACATTCAGAGCAGACCTTCACTCATGGGATGAACTTCCTGTCCTCTGCTTCCTTCTCCCTCCCTCTTACTCATTTGCAGACAGTGTGCTCTTTATTTTTAATGGTAAATCCCTTTTTTGTGTGCAGCCCACAACTTCCTGAATCCGCTCCTAGGCAAAGATGACCTACACTTTTTGTTGCACAGTTTCAAGCGATCTCCTCTGTAGTAAAGATAAGGAGAGGGGGAGGTATGTGTAGCCCGAATCAAGGGAATAACCTAGGGTGACAACGCTGCTCCTAATTAGATAACAGTATGGTAAGTGTTGTCACCCTAGGACAGTGTCACTGTCAGGGAAACTGATGCAGTCGCCACATCTAAGGACTGTTAAGCCGCAATATTATAACATTTCTGGTTTGGGGTTCATATAAAGAATGGGGACATTGTACCCATTGTGCTGAGGGCTCGCTAAGCATCCATTCCACAAGTTGCCCCTTTGGATTAATGACTCCCCAGCCCTGCCTATAGCACAGGGGAAGTCTGATACACAGCTTTGGCTTCACTACCTGTAACAATAAAATTAATATACCCCCCCAGAATAAACTTACCCCCCTCCCAGCACCCACTGCCCCACTATTGTTACATTGTATCCCATTAATCATTCCACTCTTTTTTTCCTATTCATTATAGATAGGGATAAAGAAGTCGCCTGTGTGTATCCCTCCGCCCCAGTGAGGAAAAAAGTAGTCCCTCAGCACTTCCAATTCTTTATGTCTTCCTTCCAAATCGTGACTCCATTTTTATCATTTTTTTTTCTTTTTGCCACCACCATTCCATTGCCAGCCATGATAGAGAAGGGGGCAGCGGAGGTGTCGGGCAAGAGGAGAGGCAGGGGCAACGCCGCCAGCAGCAAAAGTTTGGCCCCCAACGGGCACGCCAGCAACTCGTGGGAGGAAGGCAGCTCGACCTCGTCCAGCGATGATGAGCAGGGTAGGTCAGGTGGTAGCCTCGAACTGTCACGTCTCCCTTCCCTCACCTATAGGGGGTCAACACCTTATAAAATCTGACCCCATTTTCTTCTTTATGTGTCTCTCAGGTGGCGGTGGCATGAGGGTGGGCACCCAGTACCAGGCGGTGGTGCCAGACTTCGACCCGGGTAAGTTGTGCCTTGTTGTTGCAGGCTCGGTGGTAGCCTCGAACTCCGCAGCACTTGCTGCACACTTCTGCTGCTCCTGTCACTCATGTGCTGCACATCCGACCTGTGCCCCATAATATGATCATTGCTGACCTACCCCATTGTCATCATCATCCTCTGCACCCCAATATTTGTATTATTTATAATGATCAGTCATCTGCTGAACATCTGACCTGTGCCCCATAATATGATCATTGCTGACCTACCCCATTGTCATCATCATCCTCTGCACCCCAATATTTGTATTTATAATGATCAGTCATCTGCTGCGCATCCGACCTGTACCCCATAATATGATCATTGCTGACTTATACCATTGTTATCATCCTCTGCACCCCAATATTTGTATCATTTATAATGATCAGTCATCTGCTGCACATCTGACCTGTGCCCCATAATATGATCATTGCTGACCTACCCCATTGTCATCATCATCCTCTGCACCCCAATATTTGTATTTATAATGATCAGTCATCTGCTGCGCATCCGACCTGTACCCCATAATATGATCATCGGTTACCTACCCTATTGTCGTCATCATCATCATCCTCTGCACCCCAATATTTGTATTTATAATGATCAGTCATCTGCTGCGCATCCGACCTGTACCCCATAATATGATCATCGGTTACCTACCCTATTGTCGTCATCATCATCATCCTCTGCACCCCAATATTTGTATTATTTATAATGATCAGTCATCTGCTGCGTATCCGACCTGTGCGCCATAATATGATCATTGCTGACCTGTACCATTGTAATCATCATCCTCTGCACCCCAATATCATTCTGTATAATGATCAATCATCTGCTGCACCTCAAACCTTACTGATCTGTACTATTGCTATTATAACCTTCACCCCAATATTAGTGTTATTGTTTGTAATGATTGTTCATCATCCTGATAACAATACTCCCATCTATAAGGTTGTCATTATCATCCTATGCACCCTAATATTTAGACTTATTTTTAATTTATAATAATTATCCGCCGCACACCCCCCGACCTCTGCAGATTACTTACTTCACCGATTATCTTCTTCTGCACCCCAATATCAGTATTATTTATAATGATCATCTGCTGCACATCTGACTTCTGCACATCACATTGATCATTGCTGACCTATACCATTGCCAATAATATCTTCTGCACCCCAATATCAGTATTATTTGTAATGATCATCTGCTGCACCCCCGACCTCTGCACATTGGTTCCAATTACCGATATGTACTATTGTCATTATCTTCTTCTGCACCCCAATAGTATTATTTGCAATGATCAGTCATCTGCTGCACATCCGACCTGTGTACATCACATTGATCATTGCTGACCTGTACCATTGCCATTATTATCATCTGCACCCCAATATTGGAATTACTTTATTTTTTTAAATTTATAATCACTTTGCTGCACCACCGACCTCTGCACATGACTAATTATCTTTTTATATGTACTATTGTCATATTCAAGTGCACCCCAATATTACTATTATTTGTACTCTGCTACATCCCCACCTGGACCTCTGCACATTACTACCACCATGAATGAAATGTTCCCTTGTATTTATATTCTTAAGCACCCTAATATTAGTAATAATGGGTCCTCTGCTGCACCCCTGACCTCATTCCTGTCATCAAATATGATCGGTACCATTGTCATTACCATCCTGTGCACCCTAATATTAGTATTCTTTATCAGTACATCTGTTCTATTCTTCTGTACCCCGATAAATATTTGTAAAAAGTAGTCATCTGCTACACCCCCAATGTCTGCACATAACTGTCGTCGTGAAGGATCGGTGCTATACTCATCCTCTGCACCCCAATATTTTTGTTCTAATCATCAGTCCTCTGCGGCACCCCTAATCTCTGCACATTACTGTCATAGTTAATGATCGGTGCTATAGTCGTCCTCTGCACCCCAATATTAACTTTTATAATGATCAGTCCTCTGCGGCACCCCTAGTCTTTGCACATTACTGTCATAGTTAATGATCGGTGCTATAGTCGTCCTCTGCACCCCAATATTAGTATTTTTTTATAATGATCAGTCATCTGCGGCACCCCTAGTCTTTGCACATAACTTTCCTCATGAAGGATCAGTGCGATAGTCATCCTCTGCACCCCAGTATTAATGTTTATAATGATCAGTCATCTGCTGCACCCCTAATCTCTACACATTACTGTCATAGTGAATGATCGGTGCTATAGTCGTCCTCTGCACCCCAATATTATTATTTATAATCAGTCATCTGCTGCACCCTTGACCCCCTACATGTTGCTGTCATCGTAAACCATATGTACTATTGTCCTCATCTTCTGCACCCTAATATTAAATCTTAATAGCATTTGTAATGATCAGTCATCTGACCCCCTGCACATTACTATCCGCATTGCTTATCTGTGCTATTGGCCTTGCATTCTTCTGATGCATCTGCACCCTAATATAATATTGGCATTTGGAATAATCAAGTATCTGCTGCACCTCCTGTCTCTGCACATTGCTATGATCATAACTGATCAACACTATCCTCCTTTTCTTCTGCACCCTAGTATTGGTATTCATTATTGGGTCTCACAACGTCTTAGTAGTTAGCACTGCTGCCTTGCAGCACTGGGGTCTTTGGTTTGAATCCCAGTCATGACACTATCTGCATGGAGTGTTTATGTTCTCCCTGTGCTTGTGTGGGTTTCCTCCGGGTACACTGGTTTCCTCCCACACTCCAAATGCTGGAAGTTAATTGGCTCCTGTCTATATTGGCCCTTTTCAATGTGTGAGATGGGGACCTTGGATTATAAGCACAAGCTGACGGCTCTATAGAAATGCCGGTAATGATTGGTAATATTAGTATTTGTAATGATCAATCGTATGCTGTACCTCCCGGCCGCTGCACATCACTGTGATTTACTGATGTGTAATATTGTAATTATTCTCTTCTGCTGCCTCTGCACCCCAATATTAGTATTTTGTTAGTATCAGTGCTGATGTGCACTATTGTAATTATCTTCATCTGCTGCTCTATTATTAGTATTATTTGTAATTGTCCTGATCTGCTGCACCTCCGGCCTTTGTAGATATTACCTCCTGTTACTGGTAATGTTATTATCTCCATGATCGCCCGCTGACTGCAGATTAATATTAATGTTATTTAGTCATCTTGAAATTGTGATCTTCCACAGTTTGTGCAAATGTATCAACTGTGCTGCACCTAGATTGTATGCAGATGTACCTCCTCGGGGGCTGGAAGTAAAGGGGAACCTCCTCCTCGGGGGCTGGAAGTAAAGGGGAACCTCCTCCTCGGGGGCTGGAAGTAAAGGGGAACCTCCTCCTCGGGGGCTGGAAGTAAAGGGGAACCTCCTCCTCGGGGGCTGGAAGTAAAGGGGAACCTCCTCCTCGGGGGCTATTAAAGGGGAAACCTCCCTGGGGGGTGGGGGGGGGGGGCAGGAATTAAAGTGGAAACCTCCCCCCAGCACAGGAAGTAAAGGCAAAAGCTCCCCTACAGGAATCACTCAGCAAAAAAACCCCAAAACGGATGGGTTTTAACCCTTTCCTACTCTAATCTAAAATGGAAAGTTTGGTTATATGGTATACAGAAGTCTGTTTACATTGTGATGAGTATAATGTACAGTCTGTGCAGATTATCACTTAGTAATACACATGTATACATTTATGGAGCTTTCATTGCCTAATAACTTTATCGTCGCTGCGCTTACTATCTAGACAGATTTTTTTTCAGATTATTTTTGTATTGATCAAGCTTCCCCTACATCCTGTAGTAATGGTTTGAAATATATATATATCTCCGCCATCACTTGTAACTTGTACAGTGTGTGATTATTGATGAATATTGATGCAGCTTCCTATCATGGTCATTACTGATGTTGAATCTGGAGAAACTGTCATTAATAATGATCAGGCAACGTCTGCAGCCTGAGAAGTCTGATTATAATCCTTACTAATATATTGCAATTATTTATCCAACTGTACTAGCAGCCTAGCGCAGGGCCGGGCATTGGTGGGGTATTACTTTGCGCTTGAATATTTACTGCTGATTATTGTCCCCTTTGTGGGCAGCATTTGTATCCATTTTGTTGCACCAAATTTATTTGATATATTTGCCCTCAAGGCAAGGGTGCACCCCTCCCCGGCTCCAGCTGTGGTAAAACTACAAATCCCATGATGCATCTGTCTCTGAGAATCATGCCTGTGGCTGTGAGAATCACGCAATGCCTCATGGGACTTGTAGTTCCACAACAGCTGAAGGGTCGGAGTTGCCTTAAGTACCTTAAGGCAACTCCGACCCTTCAGCCGGAGGGTACCACCTAAACCACGAGGAGACCTCTTTATGCACATATGGTTTACAGAACATGATTTCATACTCGTATTTTAGATTTTTATTTAGGTACTATACTGCGTGCCCCGCGGCCATCAAACCTGCAGCGGAATGTGACTGTTGCAGAACGAAAGTTTGTTTTATGGCAGCAGAGAACTTTCTTTTTTTTTTAAAAGAGAAATGCCGGATCATCCTGGATGACAGCTATACATATGTTTTGTCGTAGTTTAATCTTTTTTTTTTAAATAGATTTCCATGCCAGTCGGCAGCCAGGTGTAGCTTTCTGCAACCGCCAAAAATTTGGATATTCCTTCCATGCAATCATGGTATCGGCACTCCATAATTTCCCAGAATCCCCATGGTTCCTGTTACTGGCTCCCCGCCTTTTTGCAAGTCTGCACAGAGCTTGAAGTCACATTTATAAGCAGCCAAACGCATGGAATATGGTGTCCCTGAGCTCTGAGATCTTTATTTTGCCTCGTCCACCCTCTTCCCATTATGAACTGCATAAAAAAAAAAAGTCATCAGGTCTGTGGTCAGAAAACAGAATTTGTAGCCCTGCTGACATCTCTACATGCCATGGTAAAGTTCAGCAATCCCTGATAGGGATCTGTATGTTGCATTCCA